TATGCTGTAAATTATATATTCACGTCAATTTGAACCATGGAACTTCAGGTTTATGTTAAGTCAATTTCATAACCTATACCAACAGCAAAGTTCTATTGTTCAATTTTGACTTTTGCTGAATACCTGAAATGATAATTGACATTTTATTTCATCCATAGAAAACAAATAAATGATGATATTTTCTTTAACGTTTTGACTATCTATAGAATATAATTTGTAACACATACACACTACATTTTATAATGTACCTATGTAATATCATGGTGGTTCAACTTAATCATTTTAAATTAGATACAAAAAGATAATTTAGTTGTGGTTTTAAATGTTAACATATCAATAACTTACATCATTACAAAACAGCAATGGTTTTCTTATTCTATTCACAGGGTATCTCAAGTTTTCAAAGTGAACTCAGCAAAGACCGTTCGTATCACTGACAAACAGCTAATTAAACTTCTGCTTCTAATGATCGCATTTGTCACTGTGATACTGTTCATCAGGACGATGGTGTCTCCACCACACACGATTGTCGGTCGCACAGCAGACAATCTTAAAACAGATATTTGTCCCACAGATTGGTGGGATCACTCGTTTTCTATTCGTAAGTATTCATTATATTTAATGACTCTATTAGATCACTAGTCACTACTAWAGTACGAGTAAGCACTAATGGAGTAATCCGTTTTAACATTAAACCTAAGAATCTGTCCAAAACACAATATTTTATTGTATATTRTGTAATAATATACATTGTCCATAATATCAAAATACTAAATCTAAAAAGAAAATATTATTTGTTGTTTATTATAAAAATATGATAGATATATAATATTGTATAAATTTATTTATGTATGATTTATTTTTGCTTAATAACTAATGCTTATGAGTTTTAATAATTTATATTAAAATTTTAAGACTCAAATATTATGTAGGAAATGTTTTTAATGTTTTCTCTTTTTTAGTGGAAGTTTTATTCTTAATTTGGGGTATCCGGTTGTGTGTAATGGTGCGGAAAACGCCGTCTGCTTTCAATGAAAGTCGGTTTATTTCTATAGCCATATATAATGAGTTTATCATGTCCGTATTTCTCAATGTTTCAATGTAAGTATTACACAATTTGTCACATATTAAATTAMTAGCTGTAACMCATAATATATGATGTGCATATTYATTATYCATGTATAATTGTAATTCTRAGYTATCGGATTTATGATTATTTAATTATATGTAATTTAATAATAATAACTAATAACAAGGTACAAAAAATAAAAAATAATAATTTTTATTAATAATAATTAAGAGGTAGTTATTACTTATTGGCAGTTTACATATATAAATAATATAAYAATATACTGCATTGTCATATTTAAGTAACTTAGATAAAATTAAATATAAGTATGTACATTGTACTTTTTATCGATTAAATGTCATGAAGATTTTATAAATGAAAATTAAGTGGATAATTTAAAATAGAATTAAAG